GGACATCCTCAGAGGTCATGAGGATGCCTGTCATAGATGTGAGTGAAAAGCCAGCAGAGAGTGCTTCTGAAACATGGCCACACAGTCCTGAAAACTCACAGCAACCCAGTGATTCTGCCCATGAAAGCCTTTCACAACACAAATCCACATTTTGTGTCATTAGTTGGGATGGAACAAAAATTCATAAATTTCCTAATGGGTTGAATTTGGAGTCCCTAACCCCTCAAGAAACTTTTGTGGAAAGGAAAATAGAATGTCAAAAGTTCCTCCAAATTGCAGGAACTTTTTTGCAGTTGTTGTTCCCAACACAACATAAACTACACAGTATCTGCAAACTGTGTAAGAGCCTCAGAAACTACAATTTTGTAGTAAAAACTTGCACTCATAGTCTATCTTACTATGCACAACTTGTCAAGAAGAGAAAATACACTCACCTACTCAACATGGGTTTTTGTTGTTGTTGCACAACAACAAAATGTTGTGTAAAGTCTGCAATGTTGCACAACAGATAGCCACATAGTTTTGCTATGCAAAATGTCTACTTTTGAGCAACATTTCTATTGTGCAACATTTTATTGTGCATCATTGCTATCTACAATGTAAAAAGGGAATCTCTGGCAAACCACTCTCACAACTGCCTGAAAGCACTCCTTTCTAGATCAAAAGTTGCAGTTTTTGAAAGAAGCTGCATAGCTCCCAAAAACTGTACAGTTTTCTGTGCTATGCCTTCTGTAGAAAAGCCACTTGGTTTTCTGTCGTTCTGGTGGAGGGGATTCCCAGGTGTCTTGAAGTTATGGGATGAAAAACTACATCCTTGTGAACAGTATATGCAAAAACCTGGAGAAAGCGAGAATTTACCATCCCTAGTCATGTGTCATTTGGTGCAAAAAAAAAAAAAGACCATACCTGAGCTGGTTGACTTTTTGACAACTTCTAGTTCAGGGACCTTGCATGTTTATTACTTACTAATAGGGTCAATTTGTCTATCTCCTCCAACTCAGCAGAGGGTTTTTTATATTTAAAATCAATTAGACACAGATCAATTCACACACTTTTTCTCTGCTTCTGGTGCAGGGCTAAACACATTCACTGTAAATCTTTCATCAGGATCATTTCATTTAATCCCTGGCTCCCGGCCATGTGTACTGTTTTTTTTTCTCCCAACCTTGAATTTACTAATTTATCCTAATATATAACTTGGTGATTTGCAGCTGAGCCAACTGCCTCTTGATTCAAAGGAAATGTCTCACTCCAATTCTTTGTGAGAGACTTTTGCTCAGTGGGTCCAAAGGACAACATCAGTGGCCTAGAGAAGAAAATGCCATCGTATTTTCACTATCTCAGCCTGAAATGGAGGACAAGATCCCTGCCTATATTAGCTCCCATGATGTGTCTACTTAGAAATAAAACGTTTTCAAAATAATTGGAAGCCTTTCACGGCATATATTGGTCAAATTAAAGACAAGTCCATAATAGCAGTGAGTGATTTAAAATACATTGTCAGAAAGAAGAGCAAGATTATGATAAATGTTGTACAATTAGGTCACATTTGAATACTTTATGTAAATGTTACACACACACACACACACACACATTGCTTGTTAAGAGCTTTGATAGGGCAAGATATCGTGAGACTGTATCCCAGTGTAGGATCGGGAAGCTTTCTTTCAAATAAGTTTTACTATTATTAGAAGGTGTAAAAATACTACTGTTAATTTGTGTCTTTATATACCAATCCAATTGTTATGTTATAATGGGTACACTTTGAAAATAATAAAATTGGGGGGAAAGAAGGCCTGGTTATTATTTCTATGTTATTTATCTAATGTATACACTTTGGAAATAATAATATATAAAATAGGCAATATATTGGCACCCATGACTGGGATTCTTCTACAGAGGTATGCCAGGTGGTGACCACTCCATACTCTCCAACATTTCACAGATAAAACTTGGGGACATGTCTAAGGTGTTCATCACATTAAGGCTGGGATTTGCCACGCATCATGGCAAATCTGATGGGGTCTGGTGGGGGGCCTGGTGGGGAACCCGTAGCCCTATGCCCTGCATCACCCAGTTTTCCGCTTGCCCCATATCACTGGTGGAAGCATCTGCTGCCCAGCTCCCCCCTCCCCCCGGGTATTTCATATGCAACACTCTGTGTCACCATAGTTTACGACTTGTGACACAGAGCCCCTCCAGAAGTAGATTGGCATTGTGAGATGGGAGCCTGCAAGCTCTATGGCACAAGTGAAGTGTTATATGATGGGCAATTTTGCCCATCTGATGAGGCTGTAAGTAATATTAGAGTGAGCTCAAGCTGGCAAAAGTTATTAATGGGGACACACAAGTTATGGCAGGTTGTCATTGTTTGCTTTTGCCTGTGGCTACCGGAAAGGGAAACACTCCAGCCCATCCCCTGCTAAATTAATTGAGTGGAAACGGTTTCTGCACTTTGAACTCAATTTGTAGCAATTGAAGTGGGCTGAGAACAAAGGACAAGACAAGAAACCACAACATAACTTTTGCCAGTTTGAGCTCATTCTAATATTACTATTTACAACCTCATCAGATGGGCAAAATCAGCAGAAAAAGTGGGGTAATAGATGTTTCATCAAGGGTGTTCAGATAGTTGGAAGGAACACTGCGCCCAAAGAGGAATGGGCCCAATCAGCAATAGAATTATTTATATCACTAAGGACCATTTCAAGCTTTTTTATACAAAAAGGATGAGGTAGAGACCCAGGTTGGTAGATACAGAGAGGAATGAGTATCAATGGCAAAATGTTGGTGGACAGAGCTCTAGGTGGCACACAATTTATTCTACATAACTTACCTTCTTCCCTCAGGTGTAGCACAAAAGTGAAGTAAGATTAAGCTGCCACTTTGACACCTTTGCTTTCAGCAGTGAAATGAGGTGAGCTTGGAAAGTCCTCTGCAGCAGTGTCCCCTGCTGTGACATGTTTCTGGACGACCTCCTCTTACAGTGTGAGCAACAGAGAACCAATTTTCTCCCGCTATCACATAAAAATAGCGAAGGAACCTAGCTTTCACATAGCAAATGCACAGGACTCCCTCTCACAGATTAGGAAGGTGTTTATGTGGTTAAGTATTATAGCATCATGGGAGTTGTCATTTGATAAGGCTCCAGCACCCTTTGGCAGAGAAGGCTAAAGACTTTGTAAAACTACAACTGCCAGAATCCCATACCATTGAGCCATGGCCATGAAAATGGTGTCAAACTGCATTAATACAACCCCAGGCAGTAAGCTTTCTAGTGAAAACATAACTACTAAGGTAGCAGAATGAGGTAGACCACTTTAGATTGGAGGTCGCCCTTGCTTCAGTGTTTCACAGTATCGACAATTCCCCTGTTTAGAGAAAAACAGCACAGCAGGGACATAAATTCAAGCCCAGCCTTCAGCTTGCACTTTTAATTATTTAATTATTCAATCACTGCTTTTGCTTTTGCATTTTGTTTTTACTCATTCCACACTTGCAGCGATACAGTCCGTTCTATTGCTTCCAGTTTAGTAGTTTCTCATTTTGTTGCATGTGTAGATCCAATGGCAATACCAGTCAATCAGAAAAAAAATCTACATACATTCTGGATAGTTTTGATTAATCCTCTGTCATCTCATACTTTCCAGCTGCTTGTTAAAATGTCTCTCTTTGACCTCCTCCCACTTTCCTCTTTTCTTCTCAGGTTACTTCCTCTGCGTGCCAAGTGCAAAAATAGTATGCACTCAATCAGCTTAGTTAGGGGTGGCAAGAAAAAGGTATCTTACTCTTCCCAGTGGTACTGAGGTGGCACAATGGGTTAAACCCTTGTGCTTGCTGAACTGCTGACCTGAATACCTGAAGGCGGGCAGTTCGAATCTGCAGGGCGAGCTCCTGTCTGTCAGCCCCAGCTTCCCAGTGGAAACATGAGACAAGTCTCCCACAGGATGGTAACACATACAGGCATACCCTGGGCAATGTCCTTGCAAACAGCCAATTCTTTCATAGCAGAGGCAACTTGCAGTATATTCTTGTTTCGCTTCTGACATAATAAAAAAACTCCAGTAGATTTGGTCAACAACAAACTGCTGCAGTGTCCTCTAAATTGAATATTCTACCCATATCCTGGTGTTCATCTGTGAAATGTTGCAAAATTTGCCCACATCTTTAATATATACATTTCACCTATTAAGATGAAACTTAAGTGTGCACCATTAAATACAATCTTTTTGCTTTCTATTTTTTTAAATTATTTTTATTGCATTTATTCAATTTAACATAAACATTAAGTAAACATACCTTTATCACTAAATTATTCCTATACTCTATAACTACTACAAATTCTTAACTAACTATAAGTCAATTCAGACTTCTCTCAATTTACAAAACAAAATAATAATAATTAGAATCTGACCAATCCTTATAATCAAGTCACTCATTCACTCTCCAAATACAATATGATAGTAACATATATGCAACATGCAAATTCTAGACATGTCCCATCATTCAATCTTATTTTGTTTTGGAAACATAATGATGAGCGCTGTTTGGATATTGACCAGGGTCCACTCCTTTTTGCTTTCTATTTGGATTTTGTTGTTCTTGTTTTCTGTGCTGTGTTGGCTTTCAATATAAGAAGTAAATATATCCTGAGATGGAACATCCTCTCCATTAGTGTTTTCTTCTTTTTCAATAAACAGAATGCATAACAGCAAAATCTGGGTAATGAAAACACCTGTAGACTTATCTTTTTCCCTCCTTTGCCCCATCTGTCCTTCTCTTTCTCCCATCTGTTTCTTTAACTCAGCCTGATGGATTCCTGCTTCCTGAAATGGAATCTCAAACTCCTAATTTAAGTCACCTACCTACAGCATGACATAGGAATAAACACAACCTTAACTTTCTGGGGCTGTTGGTCAGGCTTAATTGAGTTGCTGGCACACATAAGGGTCCTCTTCAAGCAATAGCTTTACTTAATAGCAAATATTCTATAATTTCAGATGATGCACTTCTGAAAAAAAGGCGGAGGGAGACAAAGCATTACCAAGGTTATCTTTTAATCTGCTGTCAATTGGGGATTGGGAACAGACTCCGTTTGATGCTGCTGTTTGTATGGTAAGTACTGCAGAACTGTTTCTTTTAAATCAGGGAGTATACTAAACTCTGTACAGCCTTGCTGATGCTGGAATGCACTCCACGTTTATCTGAACATAAGTCTAATGGGACTCAGTGAAATATATTTCCAAGCAAACATGCATGGGATTGCACTGTAAGTCTAAAAACCAATCCATTCTTGCCTGCTTCCCAGTGAACTCAGTAATATTTTCTTTTGAGTGGGTTATATAGGATTTCTTATATGAATACATTCTAGAAGAAATTCTCTTTTCACTATGTTGGAAATAACCAATTTCTGTCTTGGATTATGCTTGGTAGCTTTTTTAATTCAGAATGATTCATATTTTGTTGACTTTTTTAAATGCACTGCTGTGATCTTTGGTGTGTGTGTTATTATACGTACTGTTGCTTACAAAAATTAAAGCCTGCGACTCTCCACTTGATTTTATCTCAGTAAATGTGGAAAATTTAGGCAGAGGAGAAAATGAAAAAACGGAGAAGTTGACAATGGTGACTCATTGGGCACAAACCAGACAAAATAAAGCCTCGTTGAGACTTTTGGGCAATTTTTCAAGGCGAAATGAAAGGGTTTTTTTATTATTCTCTTGTAAAATCCATGGGTTTTAAAGCCCTTAACGTTGGCTTGCTTGTAGTGGTTAATTTTGTGAGCTGGTTGGATATAAAAAAAGGTAAAGGTTTCCCCTGACATTAAGTCTAGTCGTGTCCGACTCTGGAGGTTGGTTCTCATCTCCATTTCTAAGACGAAGAGCCGGTGTTGTCCATAGACACCTCCAAGGTCATGTGGTTGGCATGACTGCATGGAGCGCCACTACCTTCCCGCTGAAGCAGTACCTATTAATCTACTCACATTTGCATGTTTTCAAACTGTTAGGTTGGCAGAACCTGGTTTCAGTGGGAGCTCACCCTGCTCCCCAGATTTGAACCACCGACCTTTTGGTCAGCAAGTTCAGCAGCTCAGTGATTTAACCTGTTGTGCCACCAGGGATCCTGTTGATTACTTCTAGTGCATATTTTTGCAATGTAAATGTGATGGCTTTAAATTAAATTATGGTGATTCTTAATTGGGACCATACCCACCATCATAAGGCCCCTTATTAATTAAGAAACCTAATTTAATCAGTGAAATCTGAGAGTGTAGCATTTAATTTACAGTTATTGAAAGTGCATGCTAATTCTTTTTGAATGGGAGTTTCACTTAGATCGGCTTTGAAATTGGATGTGGGTCTTTTGTAAGTCCTCTCTTATATTTCTTAAGCTTAAGAGCCCCATGTTCCCGGCACAAGGATGCAACAATGATTTCTGTCTTACAGCATACTGGAGCAAACTAGACCATATTTTAAATTATTCATCATTATTAGTGTGGTATTCTCTGGAATGCAATGGCATTAATTAATTTAGCGCACAGCTGGGGTTATCCTTTACAGACATCCACTATTCAAATGGTTTCTAATGCCACAGAAAATCAGGCATAGAATTAAACACTTTAGCAGTGCCTTCTCTGCTGTGAGTCTTGGCAATTGAAATTAATGAATCGCTCCCACGTTTTGGACACGTGGAGCTTTTATGCTATAAAGAGGAGTCGCAAATATACAATACAGATTGAACATGGAAATCAAAGCACTTTCCCAAGGTGAAATGGGACTAAAAGGAAAAAAAATACTACACAGTAATGGCATTAAATGTAATAAAAATTCCATCAGAAGATCAATGAGAGTGATGTGTAATCTTTTTAAAAGGTAAAGATGGTGATTTTGAACATCTTTATGTGTACATTTTTATATGAATTTATCCATTTTAAAATAAAAGCCCAAAGTACTTTAAAATCAACGAAAAGGTTGAATAGACTTCCTTAGCCATACCTTCCCATCCAAAACTGTAACGTAATAATTTAGTTCCACTGAAGCCAATGGGAGTTTAAAATATTGATTTCTGAGAGAGACAAATACTGTTATTATCTTGAATCTCAGAAAAAGAGAGAGAGAGAGGTCTACAGCCCCAGAGAAAGTTGGAAAATTGTACTGCTATATCATACTTCTATTTTAGGATGTCTAAAAGGTATCCATGGTAGCATGAAAAATAATTCACTCTATACAAAACTTTGACAGTTACCATGTATAACCCTTCCAAAAAGCCTTTGTGCTCAGCACCTTTAAGATGTTGGTTTTAAGCTATTTTGGCTTTCAGTTCCTGCCAACATGATTAGCCATGTTGACTGGAGATATGTTGGCTCGAGATGAGAGAGTATTAGGCGGAAGAAGTAGGATCTGTAATAGATAAAGTGACTCAGTGGTTATCATATTTGCAGTTTCTTGTTCCTCGGAATTTCAGTGACAAAATCTGGAAATAAGGACTGGATTCTTTTGAGGAGGTCTTGTGGGTTATGTCAGTGGATCTTTGTGGTGTCACTGTCTGAACTGTCAGGAGTTGAAAGACAGGCCAGAACTATTTCTGAGTATATAAACATGACAATAGTGTAATGCAGAATTTTCCAAGCAACCTTTTAAAACATGCATCATTTTGCAACACAGTAAATCAGTTTTACTAGCAAATCTGAGGTTAAACCAACTCCTCATAACCGATATGGACATATACATAAATTGTAATAACGAAATGTATGAGGACACAACATATCTCATTAAAACCTTCTACTTATATTTTTTAACATACCGGCATATGATTTATTGCATCAACTCAATGGCAGCCGACACACTGGTGTGTTGCGACACATAGTTTGAAAAGATCGGGCATAACACTTTGGTGAAACTCTGCTAACCAGATATTCTGGTGATTCAGAGCTGGGGAGAAAAGAACAAAGATTTTTTGACATTTTTGGAATTTTTGACAGCTAGGCAGGTGGCAAAATTCACTCAAAAGCTGCTGAGGCTCATATTCCACATGGCATGCTGACAGCACATTTTATACATGGGGAATTGCTCCAGAGCTTCTACTGCTGTTGCTGTTTGTGAAAAACACACTGCCAAACTGTGAGAAATTCCTCTCCAGGCTCTGCAAAGCTGTTGGTGGCACCTGTAGAGCCAGAGGTGTCATCAGTCACAGTACTGATACTTCATTCGCCATATTGTTTCACAAGCCAAGAAGTGGTCGAGTGCATGTGTCCACCATATCTATTCATATATCTTCCCATCAGCTCTGGCATTTGGGGGTCCCAATGGGGGGCATAGGGATCCCATTGTCCCATGGCCCACATTGCCCAACTCACCCATGACCCCATCCCAAGTGTGGCTCCCCCCCCCCATTGTTTCAAAGGCAAACAGGAAGCTCCCCGTGTTGCTGTGGTGGCAGCGTACATAGCTTCCTCGCCCCTTTCACCACAGAGTTCGGCCACAGAGCTACCTCTCATTCACTAGGACTGCAGACCCTGATATTTTTCTCCCTGAGACTTCAGCCAGGGCATCCGGATTTGCCAACCCCAGCCTTCAGTATCATCTGTCAAAGAATTCAGAACTTTTCCACATGATATTCTGACTGGAGTATTTAGCAAGACTGACGTAATAATTTCAATGATATTTTATATTGATGAACCAACAATGTGATGCAGTGCCTTTAAAAGCTGATGGGATCAAGGGAAATAAAGCTGCCCTTGTATGCTGCTTTTGTAAGACCTCACCTGGAATACTGTGTCCAATTCTGGACACCACAATTCAAGAGGGACATTGACAAGCTGAGGAGACCAAAATGATCAAGGATCTGGAAACCATGCCTTGTGAGGAGCAGCTTAAAGAGCTGGGCATGTTTAGCCTGCAGAAGAGAAGGGCGAGAGGTGACATGATGGCCATAAAAAAGGCTTGTTTTCTGCTGCCCTGGAGACTAGGACTTCAAATTATAGGAAAGGAGATTCCACCTAAAAATTACGAAGAGCTTCCTGACTATAAGGGCTGTTCAGCAGTGGAAATCTCTGCCTCAGAGTGTGGTAGAAGCTCCTTCCTTGGAGGCTTTTAAACAGAGATTGGATGGTCATCTGTAAGGGGCGCTTTGATTGTGCTTTTCCTGCATGGCAGGGGGTTGGACTAGATGGTGCATGTGGCCAACTCTATGATTCTATGATGTGATCAGTTTAGAACAAAGTGATGTTATTACATCAGTTTCAAGTGGGAGGAGTGAGGAATACTTTGTGTGAATGTGCCCTCATGTGTTGAACTCTGGTATTTACCATGCCCAGGGAAATGATTGAAAAGAAGTCCTCTCTTTGCCATGAAAAACCCAAATCTTACCTGTGTGAGTGATATTGTATATGATTTGTCTGCATATTGGCATTGGAACCACTTCCTGCAACACTCCCAAGGGATTCCAGGAAAATGCAGCCCCCCTGAAGTGGCACAAAGAGCCTTGTGTTTCAGTGGGGATGGACTGTGAAAAAGGACTTAAAATAAGTGGGGAAGTGGGAAGCTCTCTGACATGTGGTATGGTTATGTAAAGAAAATACACCCACTTGTTAATATTTTACCACCTCAAAGAGATCAGTAGAAAATTTGCTTCTAGATAGGCATTTCAAAAGCTAATTTTCTACTGATATCTTTGAGGTGGAGAGGAATTTCAGAGAACCAGCATAGTGTTGTGGTTTGAATTATCAGACTGCGACTCTGGAGAATAAGGTTCAAATCTCCACTCAGCCATGGAAACTCACTGAGTGACCCTGGGCAACTCGTACTCCCTTTTCTGAACAAATCTTTCCACGTAAATTCCATTATAGGTTCACTTTAGCGTCATCATAAGTTGGAAAAGACTTGAAGGCACAGAATAACAATAGGAATTTCAGCTTGGCCTTAACACCTAGACAAAATAACCTCCCCAAAAGACTTGATATTGAAAACATCTGGTCCTTCCATATAACAAGATATATATTCAAGTAAAATATTCATGCCACAGGATGGAAGGAGCAAAATGGCTCAGTTCTGAGGGTTTGGTCTTCAAGTATTAATCTTGTGTGCCTTTTGTGCTGATTTCAGTATATTGTGTGG